TTCCTTTCCTTTCTTTCTTCCCTTTCCTTTCCTTTCTTCCCTCTTCCCTTTTCTTTCTTCCCTTTCCTTTCCTTTCTTTCTTCCCTTTCCTTTCCTTTCTTTCTTCCCTTTCCTTTCCTTTCTTTCTTCCCTTTCCTTTCCTTTCTTTCTTCCCTTTCCTTTCCTTTCTTTCTTCCCTTTCCTTTCCTTTCTTTCTTCCCTTCCCTTCCCTTTCTTTCTTCCCTTCCTTTCCCTTCTTTCCCAGTGTTTGTGACTGAGTGGTTACTAAAAAAGACTGGACATACCCCATTTGCAATACCTTGGGTTGTCTTCTTTTGCAAATGGTATGCCATCATGAGGGTAATTCTCATTCCTGGGCTGCCATACAATCTTAAAGGCAATATGTCAAATTTCAATGTGGGGGAAAAAGGAAATTCAAGCCGGTTTGACTCTGTAACTTTTGAAAACACCATAAAACCTGTACATGGTGGGTACTGTTATACTTGGGAGACTTCGCTGACCACAAATATTGGCATTTCTAAATAGTAAAATGTATCATAACAATTATATCAGTGAAAGTACAGATTGTGTGTGAAAAATGCAAAAAACTACATTTTTGCTGCTGATATCGTTGATGTTTTACTGTTTTTAAACACTAGTATTTTTGTACAGCAAAATCTCCCGAGTAAAACCGTACCTCCCATGTACAGGTTTTGTGGTGGTCTGAAAAGTTACAGGGTTAAATATAGGGCTTGCGAGCCAAATTTTGTCAGGCAGGTCCCTCGAATTGTAGTTAATAGAATGACTTAATTATGTAAAAATTATATAAATATATTTTGTAGAATTTAAGTGTGTGTGTGTGTGTGTGTGTGTGTGTGTATATGTATGCATGTATATATGTGTATATATTCTTTCTCATGGCCGCAGGGGACGGGCAGAAGGATTGAGACTGCTGACATGGGATCGGCGGGGACGTTCTATGCCAGCGTTTTAGGCCCGCCTAAAAAAGGACGGCAAAGAATGCTCGCCGTCCTTAAGGGTTTAATGCTTGTGCTTACCAAGAAAGTATTGTTCTTCTAGAATACACACTGAATAAAACTGATCCTTTTCTTTTCCCTTACTCAGAATCTGCTCTGGATGATTTGGATCTAAATGAATTTGGAGTAGCTGCTCTAGAAAAATCATTTGACAATAGCACTATCCCTGCCTCTGGAGGAATCATGATTGGTAATTAGGAACACTTGTGTGAAATGAAAACACCAGATTTTTTTTTTAACTTGGTGTTTTGTGTGCTTCCCATCTCCATATAATAGTGTAACTGGGGAAAATAGTAAATTAAGTAAGCTCAATTTTCTACCCATCTCTGTTGCTTGCAAAGGAGGGCCAACTACCCCTCTCCCATCAGCTTGAAGCAATATTCCGCTCTATATCGAAAAGGGAAAAAATAGTACCTGATGTTTCCCGAGATTAGTTATTGATCACGTTTATATTAATCAATCTAAATGTATATTTCCTACGATAAAACATTTTTAAAACACACATATTCCAATCTATAGACCTAGAATGCTATAGTCTTTTCACAGCTGGATAAAGAAAAACATTTTCATTGCTACTGAGAGGTAGATATCCTTTCTAGATAGATATCCTTTCAGTAGCAATGTATGTACTAATGCCATCAATACTTTATTTATTTATTTATTTATTTATTTATTTTGTGAAAATTTATTTTTCTAGCCTCTTTTTAAGGAAAACTGTTCCATTCTCTTTAGCAATATATTACAATAAAATCTGTTCAATGTATGATTAAACCTTACTGGCACTTGTGACTTCTTCTTAAGCCTGCCTAATATAATTTATGTGTTTACAAATTCTGTATGGCAGTTGGCTTGAAGCCTTTCCCTTGCTGCTCAGATTTCTAATAAGGAAGTTCCATTTCTGTATTGGCAATCTATTTCATCCATATTTAGATGTAATTTAATAGGCTGCGTATGTCTTGTGGACACCACAACTGATTTAAATTGAGCATTCGACACCACACTCTTTGGAAGTGTCACTTCTCTTACAGTTCCTCATTCTGTCACTTCAGTAACTGCTATTACAGTTCAGGGAAACTAAGGAGAAAAAACACAAAACCAAAATACTCACTCTGCAGCACCAAGGCGGCTTTCTCTTCCCACTCCAATTGAGCTTGGACTTCTGCAGAGAAATGTCCTCCACATAATGCTCTCTCATTTTCAGCACAGATGCTATTGCATGATGTGCTGTGCATGTGGAAGAACAATCTGGAATACAATACAGAAATATAAATTGGAATAGAAAAATGGTACACCATTAAAAATAAATAGAATTATGACTCACTGATAACTTTTAGTTAGCGATTAGCTTGTCCAAAAACTCAGATGTAACTGGCTTTGCATTTTGTCCTGTCAGTCATTCACTTTTTTTTTTTTTTTTTTTTAATAAACGGTTTCATTTTAAGTGGCAAAAGTGTATCAATTTGTTCTTTCTCCAACATAATCTTACAAAATTGCCTAATTTTTTACTTTGTGTTTTATTATAGGTGGCAGCCTAATGCAAAGCTCAGCTCCTGTGAATATTCCTGGGTCCTTAGGAAGCTCTTCATCTTTCCACTCCACGTCACCATCACCACCTGTCAGCCTCTCTTCACACTTCCTCCACCAATCTGCTGGCGCACATAGCCAATCAGACAATGCCTTTCTTAGAACGTCTGCTTCTCATGGGTCCTTAGGTGAGTAAATTCAAACCAAGCAAGATTTCTCTCCTTTTTAGTTTTATCTATGTATCACTTGCAAATGCAAGCTAGTCTTTTCCCCTCCATCTTCACTGTTGTCAAGGGACTTCCCACATGTCCAATTTTGTATACTTTTCTTTAACAGCTATTGGTTTTTGTTTATTGGCGGAATGCTCTCCTCCGGTATTAGTCTCCTCTTACTTTACCAAGACTAAACTCTCTACCGTTCAATGGTGCTATCTCAGGATACTCCATCCTGGCTCTGTTATTTAAAGGAACACTATAGTCTTCTAAATTACTTTAGCTAAATAAAGCAGTTTTAGTGTATAGATCATTCCCCTGCAATTTCACTGTTCAATTCACTGTCATTTAGGAGTTAAATCACTTTGTTTCTGTTAATGCAGACCTAGCCATACCTCCCCTGGCTATGATTGACAGCCTGCATGAAAAAAAAACTGGTTTCACTTTCAAACAGATGTAATTTACCTTAAATAATTGTATCTCAATCTCTAAATTGAACTTTACTCACATACAGGAGGCTCTTGCAGGGTCTAGCAAGCTATTAACATAGCAGGGGATAAGAAAATCTTAATTAAACAGAACTTGCAATAAAGAAAGCCTAAATAGGGCTCTCTTTACAGGAAGTGTTTATGGAAGGCTGTGCAAGTCACATGCAGGGAGGTGTGACTAGGGTTCCTAAACAAAGAGATTTAACTCCTAAATGGCAGAGGATTGAGCAGTGAGGCTGCAGGGGCCAAAACTGCTTCATTAAGCTAAAGTTGTTCAGGTGACTATAGTGTCCCTTTAATTTATATGATTTGCAATCTTTTCAGTTATTGATCTTGCTTAATTTTCTATAATAAATATTGTTGATGAATAAAGAGTATTAAAAGAACATGCACGCTAGGACTGCTAATAATGTGGTTTACCTGGCACAGCAACACATGTTAATTTCTGTCCAGAAGACGTTGCATGGGATAATAAGTCTTCTAATATGTGTATCTATCTGTATGTTATGCTTCACAGGTCCTGATAATTTTTATTTATTATAACTTAATTTTATCATTTTATTTTTAAATATAGAGGAACTATCCCTTCAACAATTTCAGCATCGCTTAAATGTTCGCTATAGGTTGTGGTAAAATTATTTGAAAATAAAACAAACTATAAAGAATTTTAGCTTAAGTGCTTTACTAGGCAAAGCTGGTAAATTTAGTTAACGCTTGCAATGCTGTACCTACGAGGCACAGATATGTGTAGCACATGTTCGCATACAGCATTTATGATAGATGCCTGGGGCACCATGTGGCAGTGATCAATAAGAATTGTGAAAGACCGTTTCTGAGATTTTAATCTGTGTAAAAGGAATTGACTCTCCGCTCTCCTATTTTTAACTCTTATTGATAATACTGTCAAATATTTGATGAATTTTGTGCTTGATAATGTCTGTGCATGCTTGGAGTTACCCCTGTTCTTGCCAAACAACTCCAAAATGGTTTGACAGAAAGTTGGGGGTGACACTCCTCAGCACCATAACTACTACAGCTCCTTGTAGTGACTATGGTGGTAGAACACCCCTTTAAGGTGGATGGGGGTAACTTCTATGAAATATTTCAGTACATCGGTTTCTAACTTCTTGGTAGAAAAGTTCTATGGTGAAAATACGTTTTGATGTTTCTATACAAGAACTGTTGGTATTTCAGCGTGTGAAACTGAAGCAAGTAATCTCCAAGATTGTGAAATCGTGAAACATTTAGAGCAGAAAATGGAGAACAAATGGATCAAGCACATAGCCAATTTTCCAGATTGCCATCCCGTTAACAGCATAATAGTCACGGCAATGTTAACTTTGAAAGTGGAAGTGAAAAGTTTGATGCTCTAAATCAAATGATTCCCCACAAAGAGAGGGGTTAAAGTCCTATGTTTGTTAATAGTGTAGGGATATTTAAGAGGTTTCCTGTGATCTGCAAAATAAAAAGCATCAAGACTACAAGCAAATTGTAAAGCAGAATAATAAAGGAGGAGGCCACATATAAATATTTAAGCTGGTGGTCCAGCTGAAGCTGCTTAAAGAATACTTTTTTTTGGCTCACGTTTACTCCAGCTGACTAAAATGATGACACACGGATTAAGCACCTGTGCTCCTTTCAAACTTCAGGTAAGAACAGTATTACAAAAGCTATTTCTTATGCCCCCCTCACCCCCACATTAATTATGAACGTTTAAACATTTTACAATATCTATTACCCCTGTGTTTTTTTGCACACCCACAAACATTTGTTAATCTTCCCCTTAAATCCTAACTAATTATTTTTATTTTACTTTAACATACCCTGGTAGAGACCATCAAGACTTCTAGCTGAAGCACAGTCTTGATGACAGTCAGTATGTTCAATATATGTGTTCAGTGAAACTTCACTGGCCATATATATATTTTTTTGTTTTTATTTTTTTACTTGGCTAACTCAATAGTATGGAACTGCACTCAATCCTTGTTTAGTCTGAATCTGGGTGCAATCAAACCAGGTCTCGGTACCAGGGAACCAGATGCTTCATATAGAGAATGTAGAAAGGTCCAGGCACTCAAGGATAAAAAAAATAATTATTAAACCCTCAGCCAAATCACAGCGTTTCGACCTACATGGTCTTTATCAAGCTTTATGTATATATTTTTTTAAACAGAATATCTAGAATCCGTTCTCCGTATCTTGTGCTCCATCCCCAAGAATATTATTTCTATTACAGGAGATCAAACAAAGGCTGAAAGCAGGCAACTGAATAAAGTTGATCTTACTTTGCCAGGATCAAAATCTTCTGGGAACTCCCCTCTGCCAGGATCAAAACGTTCTGCGAGCGGTCCTCTTGGCTGGTTCAGCATCATTGGAGTTGTTGCCACTGCAGTTGGCATGCTCAAGGTTGCCTTATGATGTAGTATACAAAGAATAGTTTTAGCATCATGCAAACAGTTTTTTTTTTTTTTTTTTTGGCATGGGTTTCAGCCACCTCCATCATACACATCTGGTTTTATTTTATTCTTTTTATATACAGTGGAACCTCGGAAGTCGGAATAAAATATTGCGTAAAAAATGTCTCGGTACGCGAACTATCCTCGGTACCTGAACACATCGTGCGGCATTCAGAGAGGGACACAAGTGTGAGATGAGAAAATATGGGTAGATGGACTATGTAAAGGGAATATAGGGAGCGGAAAACCAGAAGGCAGAGGGACACAAGTAAAGGGTGAATGGATATAATTATTATGCAAAGAAAAAGAGAAGGATACCATAGGACAAAGGGATACATAAGGCTACGAGCAGATATTTTGAACCTGATACAGCCATTTTATGTTTTTGTATGTAATGCCAGAATAAGTTGCCTATCCCCATCCATGTAATTTTGGGGATCTGGAACGGATTAAACAAATTCCCATTAATTCCTATGGGAAATGTTGATTTTGGTTCTCGAACAAATCGGAACTCTGTCTTCTGCAACGGATTACGTTCGAGTTCCGAGGTTCCACTGTATTTAAATGTGTATGTTGAGAGGTTTCATTCCTTAGTGACAATTGTAGAGCTTTGGGGACATCAATGCCTACACCCCAGTATTGATCGATGATCCTACCGCATGTGCCTTTTTAACGCATGATCAAGATTAGGCATATGAATGTCCATGTGTGTAGAAGTGGGAAAAAAATAATAAAAGATTCATAAGAGCCGTATGTTTGTTTTTATTCCAGTGAATCCTCTTAAACATCAAGCTTTTGTTTCAGCTTGGAAGATGTGTACCATTCAAAGAACAGTTTGTTTGTTTGCCCCAATCCTATGTCAAATAAAACTTCACGGCAGAAATGGCTGCTTGTACTACACTAAAGGTTTCGTATATCACAATCGTGGACTTGTGAAAATGATATTCACCACTGCAACTGTGGATCTTGTGTATGCGATAAGGCACTCTATTCCAGCATGTAAGCCTCTGCAACTATACCATGTTCAAGAGATCTATTGTCTTCCATTATTTTATAAGTTGGAACTGTACTCATTCTGTCCCAGTAGTCTTGGTTGGTGCACTGGCAAACAGAAGCTGGCAAATACCTCCACAGAGCCGAGCAATAAACTACAGAGTTCAGCGATACAACCACTAGCTTCATTGGATCCTATAAGGGACAATGTTTTTGGCTCTGAAAGAGACCTAGTCTATCATTCTTCCAATATTTTGACCGGATCCAGTCTGTCTAAAGCCTAAAAATGGATATAGCAAATACACTTTAACCATTGGTTTTGACAATTTCACAGTTGCTCTGAATACATCAATGCAACATGTATTGTTTGCTCACAGAAATTCACATTATGCAACAGTACTTAATTTGGATAAAGTCTAGATTTTGACTATCCTATTTCTTCTTATTCAGTTGTTTGCTTACCTGTTTAGAATTGTCTACCTTCAGCTAAGTTTCGACTCACAACAGATGCGTTTGTGTTTTTTGGCAGAATTTACTTTAACAATCCAGAGTTCATTGTTCTCTCCATGATTCCAAATTGCCCTTATGCAAACCAACCCAAATGTCTAAATCCTGCCAGTGTTCGTTTTAGTTGGGATCGTGTATTGAATTTCTACATTTATTTATTTTATATCTCAGTTGGTCCGCTTATTCTTTCAGTTGCTACCTGGATCATAAAGTTCTTTGAGATGCAGGCAAAGTCTAATTTTTTTTAAAATATTTTTTTGGTTTTAAATTTTTATACATTTCTATAGATATTCTTCTATGGTGTTCTGACCACCAAAGCCACACATATTCATCCTCCTGAATATGAATTACACTTCACGATTCCCTTCAAAACTCTGCTCCCATTTTTGTCTGATGTTCACGACACAATATTTCTAATAAAGATATGAAAAACATGATTTCTCTTTAATCTTTCTCTGTGCATGGTCATGCCTTGGATAAGATTCGGACCCATGTTAACATTTCCATTTCACAAAGTAGAGACGTATGCGAAAGGAAGCAAACGGCTTAATAGTGACTTTAAGTGGTTAATGTCTCAATTAAATTTTGTCTTATCCGTGAGCTTGGTTCATAAGGCGACATAAAAAAAAAAATTGTGTATATATACAGATAACTTAGAAATTATTTGTATTTTTCCTCTTCCCTCTCTTTCCCAGTATGATTTGGGTACACTAAATTACATTTTGCAATGTTTGCAAGTACTAACAGACATTTTAAGTATGCCCTCTGTATGCACTTAAAGGACCACTATAGTGCCAGGAAAACATACTTTTTCCTGGCACTATAGTGCCCTGAAGGTGCCCCCACCCTTAGGGTCCCCCTCCCGCCGGGGTCTAGGGGGCGGAAGGGGTTAAACTCACCTTCAGCATCAGGCGGGGAACTCTCCTCCTCCACAGCGATGTCATCGACTGCGCATGCGCGTCAGGAGCCGCGCGCATTCAGCCAGTCCATAGGAAAGCATTCTCAATGTTTTCTTATGGACGCTGGCGTCTTCTCACTGTGAAAATCACCGTGAGAAGCGTGGAAGTGCCTCTAGCGGTTGTCAATGAGACCGCCACTAGAGGCTGGATTAACCCTATTATAAACATAGCAGTTTCTCTGAAACTATGTTTATAGAAAAAAGGGTTAAACCTAGCTGGACCTGGCACCCAGACCACTTCATTAAGCTGAAGTGGTCTGGGTGCCTATAGTTGTCCTTTAAAGGAACTGTATAGGTAAAAAAATACATATCCTTCCCTCCCCCAACGTAAACCTAGTGTCATTGAATGCTTTTTTTTTTTTCTAAACCGTGCAAAAATGAGCTTTAGAAGTACCTGTTTTAATCTTTACTATGATCAAATTCTCTGCTCCTCCTCTGATTTCATGTCATATCTCCCTGCTGCCTGTATTTCATCCAGACTGTCCACCAATTGCCATGCTCCAATAACTCTCTATAAGAATCAGATTCTTCTCATGCAACAGTCATTCGTCTAATATCTTTATTTTAAATTTTTATTTTTGTCACTTTACCCCACTCCCTTTTTAGCATGTAAGCTCATTGAGCAGGGCCCTCAACCCATATGTTCCTGTGTGTCCAACTTGTCTGGTTACAACTACGTCTGTTCGTCCACCCACTGTAAACCGCTATGGAATTTGTTGGCACTAGATAAATAACAATAATAATGGCACGCCTTACTGGGTGTGCCTGAGTTTCACTCTGCTCAGCACATGCCCACAATGCCTGCCCAAGCCTCCTCGGAATCAGCAGCATTCAGATATTAGAACTTACAAATCTCATCATACACACAAACATTTCCGCACTTCATTAGGTATCATATAGTGTCACCTACAGAGTGTCTCTCTCTCTCTCTCATTTCTTACACTAGATAAGACACTCCTCTATTCTTATTGGCTGTGAAATGTATGTTTGTTTCAGAGACAGGGAATCAGGAACATGTTGAAATGTGAGAAGAGGGTGACTAATGAGGCTGGGTTACACTGCTGAAATCAGCAAAACATTTTGCAGCACTGCAGGAAAACTATACAGAATTGAAAGAAGAGAAACTAACCGCAGGTATTTTGAGCTTATTGGCTTTAACTTAAGCCTAACTTGTTTAGCTGCCTGGCGTGTCCCTTTAAATATAGCTTGTGGTTTTTTTTAAACACAAAACCTTTTTAACACCTTTTTATAGTATTCTTTGAGTCCCATGCCCCTCTGTCTTACTCTCTTCTTTATTCACAAATTGTTTTTTATAATGTGTATCTTCATAACAATAAAATATCTTAAACACAAGTTATTGTCTTTCTTAAAGAATTGTGGGGGGTAACTTACACCCCACCCAGACATTTTTAAGTGTTATTTTGAGGTTTGTGTGTATGTTCTAAGATTACTCCTTTGACCAATTTAAAGGGTAGTCTTCCATGAGTTGGTCTCCTTGCCAAAAGTTGCTCATACATTGCTGTAGCTACAGGTCTGCCCCCTGGCTCTTAGACCACAAAAAATGTAATCTTTACGTTCTCATTTTGCCATCTGTGCCCAGTCCGCGCTGTCTACCGACGTGAAGAAAGTCTGAGCTGCTGTAGTGTGCGTGTGCACAGATCACTGCACACAGCCTGTTTCACAAAATTGTTAGCTAGTCTGTGCTTATACTGACTGCATCTACATTATGGTTGATATCCACTTACTAAGCAGTCCCAGTTATCCTTTATGATCCGTGTGACAGTGTTTAGGCGTTTAAACTGCAAATCCTTAACCAACACTGCTGCATTTGTAGAAACCTGAAATCACATTAATAGATGTTCGGTTTACAAATATAAGGTAGTAACTGTAGCATTTGCTGGCTGTTTAATTGGTTGGTTTTTAAAGTATTAAAAGGAAGGAGTTTCTTCTTGTGTTAAAAAGAGGAGAAATAAGAATAGTCCTGCTTCTTCCTGAATACTCGGTTTATATACTTGTTGAATACATCAAGTCCAGAGATTCTATTTCTGTTGTCCACCAAGGACCGTTATAAAATGCAATGTATGGCAGTACATGACACCAGTCAAGCTCTACCCCATGAGGAAAAACATTCTGACTTATGTTGGAAGCTTTGTAAGCACAAAGACACTAATTCTCTACATGTGGTGGAATTGTCCAAAAGTCTCCCCATTCCTGCATCTCCTCTAAGATATTTTTCATAGACTGTTTTATCTGGACCCATTGGGCCTTTTTATTCGCAAGGCCCATAGATGGTGTCTCTAATCAAAACTAGAAATTGATGAATAAGGCAGTATTGGTCACCAGATAAGCCGTAGCCACAATACAGAAGAGACACATGGTTCAGACAATGCACAAGGTTGTTCGTAAAATCAAAGATGCCCAAATAGTGCATAAACGTACAGTAAATACTACCAAATCCTATAACCGCGTGGAAGCCCTGGGAAGATTCTTAGGTTATACATATGGTTTTATTTTTTTTTGCTTTTATTTCTGAATATCTCTAACAAAGACCTCCCTGTTTTAATCTTGACAATGGCATGAATTACTCTCTCATCCCACCTCCCTTCTCTTTTTACTCTCCACTTTATTTTCGCTTTCGATTATAGTCCTGATTTTATATTCCAAAAATTGTCATTCTGGATGTGTAGCCTAGATTCCATTGTGTTTGCACTGGTTTTGTAGATGCCTTACCACTAGGGAGTAGTACTTTTACAATTATAATAAATTATATAGTTTTAATGCGCTTTGCGCCTCTGCTCACTCAAAGCAAACTCTCTCTTTAAAGGGACATTATAGGCACCTACACTACTACAACTCATTAAAGTGATCTGGGTGCAGTGTCCCAGGCCCCTTAACCCTGTTTTTTTTTTTTGGCCAAATGCCTAAACTGGAGATATAATCCAAGTGAATTCTGTTTGTCTGGCCATTTTGATATTAAAGGAATACTAGAGGCACCCAGTCCATTTCATCTCAATAAAGTGATCTGGGTTCCATTTCCCGGTTTGTTTAACCCTGCACTTTAAAACAAAACCGCAATATTTACAGCTGCATGGATAGCTTGCTTCTAGTGTTTGTCTTCGTGGCAGCCACTAGAGGTGCTTCCACCCCTTGAGAAGAGTTAGACTCTGCTATTCAATCGGATGGTTTCATAGAGACTATGTGATTGGCACACATGCGCACTAGCCCTGTGGAAAACATTGGGTTGATTAAGGTCATCTACACTGATTATCTCAGCCAAAGAGGTGGAGCACGATTGCGAAGACAGGTGTGACTAGGGTTGACTGATGAACAATACCTTTCACACGGGTACACTTTAATAGGTGTCAGGACGCTATTGAGTTTGGATTCCATGTTTGTATTCGTTACATTGTAGTGTTCCTTTAAATTAGAAAAACCCACCACATATACCACATGTCCTATCATGACACCTAAAGAATATAACTGTGACTGTAATGCAATCACCTGAAAGATGTACGTTACATTGTTTGCAATAAAATACCATTGATGTACTTTATATCTTATTGTTATTGATGAAAACTAATAAAAGGAGAATAAACAAAAAAATTTGAAAAGCCAGGACTAAGTGAATAAGCCTGCTAATACAGTATATTTAGTTTGTTTTTTTACTCACAAGACTTCACATTCACAGAATTTGCTGAATTCGCTCATGTTGGATTAAATGAAACGATTAATAAAGGTGTTTAAATATCATTCGGAGGTACTTGCTGTGATCTTTGTCTGTACGTAGTGAAAAGTACTGGATGTGTGGCCTGTAAAACATAATTCTCTTCCAATTTGGTATCGGCCTTCTTTACTGTCATTGTTTTTAAAAACAAAACCTCATGAAATCTAACATTAAAGTCGAATTTTAAACTGCAATCCAATGCTACTATCCAAATTAACACTTTTATCATTTTTCTGACCAGTGATCAAAAAGATGAGCTATGCAGTTTTATCAGCCAGCACCATTCTGTTCTATAAGATGCACTTCTAAAATATTCTGCTGTTTAGACTTCTGAAATCCAGTGGCTTTTAAATATTTTTAAGCTTGTCACAGAATAATATTTGTTCATTGTCTACATGTTAACTGCTGCTAACTAGCCATTAATAACATCAACCTGGTCAGTGACTCCTTTCTGAAGGTTTGTAAGCATTTTTTGGTGGAACACAAAAGGTTCCTTTGCCTCCTGTTAAGCAGACAAATTTAAGTAATCCCAATCGCCCAGGATGAAATTTATTGACACTCTAATGGAGGTTTTTTTTTTTTCCTTTTCTATTGAATTGCGTAGCCATTTGTTTTGCACATAAACAAAATAAACACATTTGACAAGGATTGGAAGCAGTAACACCAGAACATGCATAAATGCTTCCTGTTTGATTAATAAATTCAAAGTACAAATAAGCGTTGGTTGCATGAATATACCTTGACAAAATGGATGATGCAACAATAACTCACATCTACTTTACCCACAATGTCTGCTTTCAACATTCTTAAAAGGACACTATAAGGCAAAAATGGCCCATTGTTATAATTCATTTTATTTTACACTTAATGCAATTTTGTTTTGAATCAATATACCAATGTTACTTGCTGAATTACTTTTTAATGGGTCTGCCTGTAACAGTATGCAGACCATTTTTATACCAGGTAGAAAAACTAAATCTGTAATTTCTTCGCTGCGGGGTCTAATCTTCTCACATAACCCCATGCACAGCAGGTGCTCATGGGATCATTTCCTCCTGAAACAGCAATTCCATTCATCACATAGAATAAAAGGACCTGCTCTAAAACCTGATGACTGCTATATTCGTTTACAAATTGCTACACTTCTAAAAACTCATAGAGCTGAGAGGTATTTGGGGCTAAATACATCATCTTGGCATTGATACAAATCTGCGATTGGTCTTTATCATCATAAATAGTAATGCAACACCTTCACCTATTATCACTACCGCTGCCCATAACCTTCAACATGTAATGTAAATGCAGAGCCTGCAAAATCGCCATTTGTCATCTCAAAATGTATATCTAGTGATTGTGTGGTTAACAGCTATGACAAAAGATAAACCTGCTTTTAAGTTGAAAGTGATTTCTAACTTTGTGTCTTTGTGAAGGCAGAAGGCAAATAAGACATTCTTGGATTGTTTATCTTCGTTTTTCATAACTTTGCCTAAACTGGAACTCTGACCTACGAGGATTTAACCTTCTAAAAACAAAATGTTTTTGTTTGATGTGCATAGAGTTGATCTTTTCTACATTTTATATTTTCATTACTTTCTTTTCGGTTTTTCTACAGTGTGAATAGACTATACAGCGTCTGTTCTGCAGGTTCTTATAATGTTTATCTTTTGGTCTGCTCTATAGGTCTTAACGGAATGAGTAACAGTATATGGGAGCACTTTGTATCAGGCAGCTACTCTCCTGGGTCATCCCCTGCATTCTTGTCTGGCCCTGGCGGAGCTGAATTAGTGAGGCTACGTCAGGAACTAGAAGAGGCTACAAACACCATAAAACAGTGGGAAGACTCCTGGAAACAAGCAAAGCAGGTACTGAGACCCATTCAGATGCATAAGTAACTGTGGAATGGTTTGTCTTTCCACGACTGGATAATTTAAGAGCTGCGTTGTAGCTCAAATTAATGCTTTCTACCGGTGTACCCAAGCTATATAAACTAGAACAGGCCTTTATGATGCCCACAATCAAGTACAATTAATTAAAATTAACACCAAGAATTATGTTTTTGGTTTTATATGGATTTTAGTGATACTTATTGTGTTTATTTTTTTTAACCAGTTCTGACACACTAGGCTGTCTCAGGCCATCTCAAATTGTGCCACAATCTCATTGACCTTAGGATTGTCATAGGCTGATGCAGTCCTTTATAATGTGTGTTTATTAAGTGACTGCACTGAAACGCAGATTCCCATCAGCCAATTTAGTAAAAATCTATTTGGCTTGAAAAATGCATAACTTTTTCTCTTATGAAAGTGTGCCTTGGTCCAAAAAAGGTTGGGAACAGCTTTAGATCAGTGATCTAATTGGCTTTAAACTTGAGTACCAACTTTTCTTTTATTTTTTTTTCACAAACCAAAACACACATAAGTGCCTGGACCAGCTTTCTGTCTGGCCCTAGAGTTCCCTTTCACTTTTGTTTTCTGTTCTAATTTCCTCTTTAACCCCTTAGTGTGCTTTAAAACCTGTAGGGCGGCATAGAATGCCCAGCAAAGTTTGTGTGTGCAGGGTTAAATTCATGCTTTCACCCGGGAACCCCACGTGTCATTGGATCCCTGGGGCTCCCATATCTCTGCTGGAGCCATTTTAAGTGGCTCCAGACTGACCAATGAGCTTTGAACAGCGCTGGAATTCAGCACTGCACAGAGCCCTTTTAAATTCATTCATAAAACCGCTGCTGAGCAATTGCACTCAGCTGCGGTTTTTGTGCGTGCTCAGTGTAGACCCTCCAGAGTCCCAGCCAATATGGACCAATGCTGGGCCTTGCCAGCTTCCCAGCATCAATCTCTATAATCTGCTGGGAACAAGGCTTATTCAGAAATACACTTAGTGGCAACATACCACCATCTACTGTGTTAAATACAGTAAACCTCGTTTCTAATATCAGAATTGCTATTGGCAGTGGGCTACATTAGGGCTAGATTATGGGGTTAGAGAAGGGTAGGGTTACACTAAGTGTTGGTATAGTGTTAGCGTTGACTATCAAAATAATAATTTAGATCCTAAACATATTTGGTATTTAACAATCATGATTGATATATGAATCTTTTTTGAGTTATTTTTAATTAGTTGCACTGTATGTGTAAAAATTTATATGTAAAAATAGGAACTTTTATTTTAATTTTTTACATTTTTATAGGATATTAAACGAAAGCCCGTTCTGTCCTTTAAAGAAAAAAATATCTAAATGGGGGCACTTGAAAAGAAACCATTGAATTAAGTTGAAGCAAACCTATGGCTTAATTTCTAGGTTGTTTTGCTTCAGAACGTGGACAATTGCTTCCATCCTTAAGGGGTTATCTCCTTCCATCTCTTCCTCACAAAGTTCCTTCTAGTTCTTTCATTATTTTCTCTGCATCCTTCTATTTTCATAACCTTCTCCCACATCCTCTCAGTAATCTCTTCCATTTCCTATATTAGACCTTTTCTCTACCACTATCACAGAACCTTCCACTGCTACACAGTACTCACCATAAGCTTCTACTTTGTCACAATCGCTCCTGCTTTATCTACTCTACTTTAGTATAGCTGATTCTCATCCCAGTAATCTGTAACTGCACATCATCTTCCTCGTCCATACCACCTGCCTCCATCCTGTTTCTGCTTTTCCCTTCTCAATATCTCTCCACTCCCATTTCCATATCTGGTCTCCCTTACTCTCTGCCGTGAAATAATTTGCTTGTACGTGAAACTTTAAACCAGTAAATTGTTCCTTGTAATGCCTTGGATTTTCTTTTTGGGGTATCTCCACTTCTAGAACACTGCCTGTTGTGAGTCTAAATCTGCACAGTATACATGGGCTCTATTTATGTAAAAACTGATTGGAGAACAGGACCATATGTAAACTGTTTCATACATGTAAACACAAGCTTCATTCTTGACTTGATCTGAAAATCTGTTGCTGCTGCATGCATATTTATTCACTCGTTGTTGTTTGGACTCAGGCGTGTGATGCCTGGAAGAAAGAAGCCGAAGAAGCCAACGAGCGAGCCACAACAGCCAGCATAGAGTGTGAACTCGCCCGAGAGCAAAGAGATGCCCTGGAGCTACAGCTGAAAAAGTTACAGGAAGAGTTGGAACAGAGGATAACGGGCGCACAGGACTCAAAGCTTCACGGCTCCATATCAGAACTAGAGGGCCTCCCTCTTAGTAGTCTCTATAGCATCCAGAAGCAGCTACATGCCAGCCTGGAAAGAGTCGACAAGGTCAGGCTAAGGGGTAGGATCATGGCCACATATTCCACCAGTCTTCTTCTTATGGTTTTCATGCTGTTTGCTGGTTTATTTCTTGGGATCAATTCTTCATCTGTACATTTTGCATCTGCTTTCCGTGTCTGACTTAAAGACCCCTTACATGTCATGTACCTTCTGAATATGTAACCCCAGACTTCCTCTGTCCTGCTTTGGTTTTTTTTTTTATTATAAACCCTTGGATTATATAAATTAAATATATTACATACCTGCAGATTCCAGTCTCATTTTAAAGTCCACAATCTTCCTCTTGCATGGGTTTCCATTCTTTTGACCCTTTCTTCTTTTGACTATGAATATTCTTGTACTCACACGGAACCTTTTTCTTTCTTCTTTTTGTAGGCAGTATTCCAGCTCCAGTCAGTGAAATGCTCTAAGTGTCAAGAACAGAATAGAACACTGTTACAGTGCCAACATGCTATGCTTTGTGAAGTGTGTGCAACAGATTGCCCGGCCTGTCAGCCCAGCATAGCACCGATCATGCAGCCGTGACCTCTGCTTGCCTGGACCCAGGCTTCTCGAAACTCCATTTTTTTTATACACTTATATAAATATATATATATTCATACAATGGAATACTAGTGACGCTGAGCACTTTTAAACAAGACTGTTTTTCATTCCTTTGGAACTTGCATCAAAAGCCTACATTTTGTTGTTGTGTTTTTTGTTTGGAAATTTTTTTTTTTTTTTTTTTAAAGCAAGGAGACTGAATTTAGAACCTGTCCTAATGAGGTACAGCTAAAATTTTCTATTTCAATATGATCTGTAACTGGACCACTCTGTGACATCGTTTTTTTACAAAGCCAGCCGCGCCTTGATGACATCTTGGAAAGTGTCCAAGGTTATATTAATTCATAGGAAGTCTCAATTTTATACGTTCCAATGAAAGCGTGTTTCTAATTGATATGTACACCGGCGCACAGCTTTCAGTCTGGAGAAGCAGTCCATTGGTCGTCTTAAAAAATCATCAAGTGTACCATTGTTAGTGCTTGCAGAACCCAAGGGACTAAATGTAATTTTGAAAATCAACAATATCCAGAAATAGCTTTGCTCTTGCCATCATTTGACTTTTTATGGTCTGGTAGAATGTCAGAAATCTTTCAAAGTCCAATTAAACAAAATGATTGTTTATTCATTTTCTTTCCAGAACGATACAGTAACCACAAAAAGTAATCATTTCAGTATTTGTCTGTGAATTTTTTTTTTTCTTATTAGCCCACCAAATCACCTCTCTTATCTCATATCTGTTTTGCTTTATTAATATCGATAGAAAGGAATAACCATGTTTATCTGCAGTTGTGCATATTCAGTCTGGTTAACAAATTATATTGGTAACTGTCCGATTTGTGTGCGTATGTATTGTATCCTAGTGGAAATGTTTTCTGTTTAGATAAATCTGTAGCTGTAAGTGGCCCTGTGATTAACGAGGGGTGGTGAGGATGTATGTGTGAAAGGAGGAGAGCTTATGTGCATTGCTGTGAAAGATTGAAATTCTGTTTTGTATAGTATTAAGGGGTTTGAGACTGTGCAGAAAAGTGGCAAGGAATACCCAGTGTGTGTAAACCTCTATCAAACCGCTCCAGCCACTTTCTTTAAAGGAGTAGTCTAAACAGCATAACTTAATGCCATTGTCAAAGGATGCTCTCAGCCTGACCATATCTTGCCAAAATTGCTATTGCATAAGTTGAACTTATTTGCCTTTCTAATTGTTTTCTGCTTACTTCCTCTCTCCAAATCTGTTATTTTCTTTATTTCTTATCTAGTTTTCATTAAAACATAAGAAAAAGTAGGGACTACTTTGTTGTATTTTCTACACTTGACTTTCTTTGACCAAAGAATGAGCTTAAGTCCGCTCCATTTCCGGTGTCAAAAAGGAGGGTGAATATCATGGGGAAAGTTTTTTTTTTTTTTTTATATTTTATTTTATTTATTTATTATTTTTTTTTGACACCGGTAATGGAGCTGGCTTAAGTTCCTCCTTTGGTCAAAGAAAGTAAAGTGTAGGAAAAATAAAAAACGACAAAGTAGGGACTACTTTATCGTGTCTTAAAGAAAACTAGATCCGAAATGAAGAAAAGAACAGGTTCTGAGAGAGGAAGAGAAGAGGAAACATTAGGAGAAAGGTAAGTTTGTGATGACAGTGTTTTAAGCATTACCAATAGGCAAGACTGGCGTCAGGCTACATGTGCTTCTGGGACTTCTGGTTTGGATCAAACTAATTAAATGTCTTGACCCAGAATAAGGGGATGGCATCGGCAGCTAAAAGCACCATTAACACTACATTGGCATTCAATGGTTATGTTGCCTAGATTGCCCCTTTAAGGTAAACTGCTTAATTATTTTGGACCAAATTGCTTTACACATAAGGAAAGCCTCAAAATGAATCTTTTATCTGGTTCTCTGCTTGCATTCGTTTATAGAAGCAATGTGTTGTTGAGGCCTATTATACGTGGAGTTCTGCTTTTTACAGAATGTTTTGTATCAAATTACCAAATATCTATATATTAGACTTTTTGTCACTCATAACAGTATTTATACCAGGAATGTAGAGCATTACAAATGAAATCTGTATTTTGTGATATGAATAAATTGCAAACAAATTTTTAGATCGAAAACAAATGGGTAAAATAACAATGTTTTAGTCCTCCAGTCGAAACCTCTACATGGATTTAAAAACTACATATGAGGGATGAGGCAAATATAGTAAATATACTTTTTAATTTTGATAAACTGATTTTCTTGTATTTCTGGCGGAACGATACAGATTTTCTTTCCCTTTGCTTTACAGTCACACTTGCAAGTTTTGGTAAGAATGATTTTCAGGTTTCTAATTTCAGACACTGAAACGCAATGAGGTTCAAGAACATAAGTGGTGATCAGTTTGTTTTGGTTTTGTTTTTTGTTTTTTTTAAATAAATGATACATTCCCAAACTGTAGCATTGTGCCCAATTTCTAGGTTGTATTGTTGAATTTAGCAGACCGGATAACTTTGTTTGCCTTGTGTCCCTGCCCCTTAAATCTTGTATTTTGTGTTTTTTTGTTTGTTTTTTTTTTTTCCTGCTTTTCATTAGAATTTTTTAAATATATATTATATAAACTATTACTATTTTATTTTTTTTCTATTAAGCTCACTGCAAAACCGCATTTGAACAGGCTTGTACTGAAATCTAAACATGTGAATTTTCCTTTTTTTTTTTTTTTTTTTTTACTATAAAATCTATGTGGATTAATAAAAAATAAAAATCTTGAATTGGTTCAAATAAAATTTGTTCTAAATATGTATTGTATCCCTTGTTGCGATTTCATGTACTTGTAATTATATAGTTTTTCTTTTTTTTTTTCACTTAACAATAGCAAGCATTAATGAACGTGTTTTAAGACAAACTTTTTCTTCCTTTTATCACCCCAGCTATGTGTTAGGCATTAATGATTTTGAAATCTTGTGTGGGGTTTAGATTAAAGAGTGGGTTTACTCTTGGTACGCTTATCTTGGGGAAGTAGTTGTTGCCCATCTTCTCACTTTGGTATATCAAGGGATACACAGTTCCCAAAACCAATTTTGTACTACCACCTGCCCCAATTAAAATATATAACATGTCCCAGGCATAAATACTTCTGTAATATTATTATATATAAAGCTCCAGCAAATTCTGTAGTGCTGTACAATGGGTGGACTAACGGACAGATTGTAATCACACGAGTTTGACGCACAGAAACAAAGGGATTGAGGGTCATGACTAGTGCATTTACAAGCTAGAGGGAATGGGAGTATTGTGACACAAAGGGTAAAAGTAGAAGTAGATTGGTAGAATCGTATTCACTGAAGACTTAGTGTTTAAAAAAAAAAAAAAACCTTTCTAGGAGAAGAATCAATTAGGAGCTATTAAGAGTTTAATTGATACGCTTTTGTGAAAGTGAGATTTTTTTTTTTTTTGTGCAGACTGGGTGAAAGTCTAATGGAGAAGGGAAGGGAGTTCCATAGGAAAGGTGCAGCCCTGGCAAAGTCTTTAAGGCGAGCATCAGAGGCGGGCATATGTGCAGAGGATAGACATAGGTCTTCGGCAGAGCGCAGGGGCCTATACGGGACATACTTGTGTAGTAGGGAGGTTAGGTTGGTTGAAGCATTATGCAGAGCGTTTTAAGCAAGCACCGGAAACTTAAATTGAGCCCTATATCTTACAGGAAGCCAATGTAGAGACTGACAGAGGTGGGTGGTGCGGGCGGACAGGAAGATGACCCTTGCTGTCATATTCATTATAGATTGCAACATGGAAAGCTATGAACATGTAAAACCAAAGTGAAGGGGATTGCAGTACTCAAGGCGAAAGAGAACGGCATGGATCCGTCTGACTTAAATAGGGGAGGATGCTCGCTATGTTTTTGAGATTGAAGCAGCAGGATTTGGTGATCGGTTGGACATGATGGGTGAAGGGGAGATTTGAGTCAAAGAACACCTAGGCTGCGAGGTAGAGGTGATGGTAGCACAGTTAACTTGGAGGGAGGGAGACTATGAGCTGGGATCGAGTTCCTGTTAATTAATCAAGTTGGAACCTCGCAAGAGAAGAGGTGGATACGCACATGATTTGGGAAATATACAGGGATATTTACTAAAGTGAGAATTTCTATGGAATTTCAAATTGAAGGTCAAGATAGCCTAATCTGAAGAATTCTTATGTCAGCTATGCTCTTAGTTCGGTTACTCCTAGACTTATATTTAAAATTTACTTTAAATTCTTACTTCAGTAAATAACCCTGATGGTGTCCTTGTAACAGACGAGTCACGAACACGGTGGTGTGGTTAAAGTTACCAAAATATATATTTTTTTAAACTCGCAGAGTAATTCACTGATTTCAAGGTGAATTCAAAGTCAAAATAGCCAAACTGGAAACATTCTCTCTCTCTCCCTCTCTCTATGCTTTCGATTCAGCTACTCTGGCCATTACATTTGAAATTCACTATGAATTCACTTTGGATTCTCTTTGAGTTTTGTATGTTCCAACAGGTAGTCAAATTGTCACCTGCAGAAATTGATTACTTTTCAAGCTGACCATTGTGGAAAGAGGCAAAGAATCTGCTGTATTTTGTGAAAAGCATATCCCTATTACAGCTAAGAGAGTAACAGCTGCATAATGATAGATTGGAAACATACTGCACAATATAAAGGATCTATATACTTTTATAGGTGAAGACTTCATTATTGAGGAGAACCAGATGTTTTAGAATGTTGTGTAGGATACTTACGGGCTGGTTGAAGTCCCCTGAAAAGATGAGCAGATTACTTACAGTGAAAGGATTTATTATTAGTGTTGGTGATATACACTGATCAGCTACAACATTAAAACCACTGACCAGGGACATGAATAACATTGATTATATGGTTGCAATGGCACCTGTTAAGGGATGGGATATATTGGGCAGCAAGTGAACAGTCTGTTCATGAATTTCATGTGTTGGAAGCAGGAAAAATGGGCAATCAAAAGATCTGAGTGACTTTGACCAGGCCCAGATAATAATGGCTAGATGACCGGGTCAGAGAATCTCCAAAAGTCTTGTGGTGTGTATCCAGTATGGAGGGGTTAGTACCTACCAAAAGTGGAAGGATAACCGGTAAACTGGTGTTAGTCATGGACACCCAAGAGTCATTGTTGCACGTGGGCTAGCCCGTTTGGTCTGATAACACAGAAGAGGTACTGTAGTTCAAATTGTTGAAAAAAATTAATGATGGCCATGATAAAAAGAGGTCTGAAAACACACAGTATTTTATATAGCGCCAACAAATTCCATAGCGCTTTAAAATGGCTGGACTAACAAACGTAATTGTAACCAGACAAGTTTGATGCTCTGTAACGGAAGGGTTGAGAGCCCTGCTCAATGAGCTTACATGCTAGTGGGGTTGGGGTAAAGTGGCACAAAAGGTAAGGATAGAAGAAGATTGGTAGAATCGTATTCACGGAAGACTTAGTGTGTATTTATTTTAAAAGACAGTTGCAGGAGAGGAATCAATTGGGAGCTATTATTGACATAAACAATGTGTAAGATGCCTGTTGGAGATGTAGCATTCTTCTCTGCTGTGCTTAAGAGGTGTAAACCTATCAAAAAGCAACCACTACTTCTTGGGAACAGTGTAAGAATAAGTTGGGGAGACTGGGTGATAGTAACCTCTTGAAGTTGCTAGTGTTGGAAGGTCTAAGCTGCCCTGCCAGACCTGGTGGCCTCCCCTCTGAGTATTCTCCCACTGTTACTCTCTCTGACCCAGTAGGCATTTCTCCAGTAACCCATTCCCTTTGTTAACTTTTTAAAATGCCATTGTTTATCTGTCATGCTATCTCATGTCGGTATCTCAAAATGAACATAGATACCACAGAACAATCTTTGTCTCTTTGAATTGGTTATAGAGCCTGGAGTGGACTGGCACTGTCCCTCCATTCTGTGTTGCACCATGTTTGTGCATTATGCCACAAAATAAGAGTCCCTGGCCACCCACAGTCCGGCCCCTTCTGTATGTGTAGCTAAGGCAGAGATTACACACTTCCTTGTTGTCATACCCATTCATACCGTCAGTTGGAGCTCTGACAGGTTAAAAGCAGTCAGCTGACACACTAAGCCAATCATAGCTGCCCATTGCCTCTCAGGGTAATACTTCCTTATTAGCCAAAGCAGCACAGAGGGGATAGACTGCCATGGACTCTTGTTTAGCATTAAAACATTACAACATTAAAAACTGTTTAATGCTGAAAGAAATGATGGTACCAGGGGACTCCAGACACTATAACCAGTTTAATGAGATGAAGCTGATACAGTGCCTACGGTGTCCCTTTAAAATCTAGAGTTTGAACATCGTAATAACAAATTACTAACCCTTTGTCAGTAGATTGGATAGGCTACATTATTTTAATATGAATTAATAGGTTTGTTGATGCATATTTTCACTCAAGTCACTTTTTTTTAGTTCTAAAAAAATAAATAAATAATGTAGGACAGTGACTTGGCAGGTGTGTTGTAATAGTATTTCTAGAACCATGCAATATGACCCAGCTCATAATTGGATCACATCTATTGTGTAATAGTCATTATTATTTTTTAATTTTTTATTTTTGTTTCTTATCCATGCACATTGTTCATATTGTGTAAGACTGCGAAAAAGAGGGATAGTCTGTAATTTTTAGGAAAGAGGATATGAATAATGCTGCTGTATGATTTCACCACCACGTATATATTAAAATAATAATTAAAACCTACTTTTATGGAAATATATAAAACTTTAAAAAGGGAGGGGATTAAACTATGCTACTTAAATGTAATCTAGCAAGAACCTAGCATTTAATGATATTTCTTTACAAAGTCATCCTAGCAACACTATAGCACAAACCTCTCCTCCATAGGGGTTCCAATTGACATTTTAAAGATCAACGTTGAAGCAACTCTACAAGCATCATATGGTGCTAGGAGTGTCCTAGCGCCCCTTTCCCCCAATGTAAATAGTCAAATTGTTTGTTAAAGATTAGTCTTACCTGGGGTCAACTGTGCTTTGCTCCCTACTGCTTCACTTCTGACCATGAGAGTGGGAATACAGAAACTCCGGCTAGGAGCCTCCATTTTCTTTCCTGAACTAAATCGTGCCAAATCAATGCCAGCTGATTGTCTGGTAGCGTCAGCTGATCACTTTCCGCCAATGAGCTGATATCCGACACTGGATCAAGACCAACCTTTTCGGTACTGAAATATAAAAGTAACCTTATCCTAGTGCAATACAATAAGTTTAAATGAGTGGTAATGAGTAAGATCTTATATCAATGTACTCACAAGTGGAGAGCCAATAAGATTAGGCTCTATTCGTAGGCGTATTGGAATGTTATAGGGATCCCATTCCCTTCTCTGTAATTAATTTTTCCTTCGCCTCCCCATATAAATCCGAACAAAATTAAATCAAAGTACATACAAAAGTATGGATTTGTGTTCTGTAGGTCAGGTATCACAGCCATTGGAGGCATGTGTCCCATGCGGAATACTCTAAAGGCTTAACTCCCTGACACTAGCCAAGGGGAACAAGCCCCTAAGACACGTTCTCAATGTCTAAGATAAGATGATAATGAGTATATACATGCATATCTATCATCTAACCTTGTAATCTTTAGAAATAGAAACAGATGGTATGTAAATAAATCTGAGGTATTGGTAGATCTTTAGAATACGCTAAAAGGATATGCTAAAACTAGCATAGTAGAGGTTGTGCAGAGAAAACACCTGGCGGCTTAGTTAAGTATGGCCCAGTTCTTGTTAATGTCAACTAGGGAGCGCAAACAGAAATAAATTATGCAATAACGACAAAACTATAGGAGGTTAATACCAGGTGAGTTGGAAGTCCGGTATCTGCAGGAAAGTGGGGTCTGCAATACAAGGATTTAGTAAGTTGCTGGTTCCAAAGCTTCGCTACAGGTGCAGATTGTTGGTCGCCTAGTTGTGAGATTGGGACAATGACCAGCATACCTGGAAAGGTCAAGGATGTCTGCCATTTTAGTAAAATGTGGGATTACCCCAGGCATATCACTGTCATTGTTGAGTGACTGATACCGGGTCTCTTCTTTTCCTCTGTGTACTCGGTGCCAGGTCTTGGTAAAACTGTACGGTCGAGCCCTCGATTTAAGGTGGCGAGTCCCTTGCTGCACTCATGAGGCGTAGTTTTTTGTGAAAGAAGTGCACTACAATATCCCTGGAATTTAATGTAGCGTAAAGAGCTCTGTGCGCCCAAGTCCATCAGGAGATCCACGGTGAAGGCATCCGGTATTAGATTTTGAAATGTATCTGGGCCGCAAGGAGCAAAAACCACAGGGCTTTCGAAATCTGGCACTTACCCCCTACTAACTGAATGATGGGTGGAGGCCAAAAGTACTGCCAACAATCCATTGCGGCACAGATCTTCTGTGCTAGGCCTGAAAAGGCCCAGATGCCATCACAGGACTTGCTTTAAGCGCCACCCCTTGTCAAGTTTTGTCAACTTGATTGCTTCCTATGAGGAATAGTAGCCCCAACTTTTATTTATGTATTTAATGAAAACTTGTACTGCTCAGGGAAAAAAATAAAAAGAGAGAGACACTTAGCACCTGCTTTGCCTTAATAAACCTCATCTAACATGATTTGTTGTCTCTGTGAATTATTTTCTAATGCATACAAACACCTCTTTACCTACAATCCCTGTACGGTGGTGGCCCAATGTCACAGTGTACCGGGAAGGTCCGGCACGTCTCACTCACTCCCCAGATGCCATGTGTTTCTTGGCATCCTGGGAGTGAAGTACACGCTCCACTTACATCCCGGTCGCTATTTCCTCCACTCCTCGGCGGCATGCCGTTGGCAGGTGGCATGCTGCTCCTTCGAGAGGGCCATTCCTCCATCCCCCTCGGCCGCACCAAATGGATTGCAGCATTCGGGAGAAGGGAGGCGGAATTTGCCCATCCGCCAGCATACCTCCCCTCTGACAGGTATGTTATGTGGCATGTATGCCATGTCCCCTACACTGCTCCAGGATCCCCTCGTGCTGTCAGAACCCTGGGGGACCATGCTGGTTTCTCTGGGAGCAGTGTGGGGAACAAAATTTTTTATGTTCTGCTGGGAAACCTTGGATCACGACATTTATGTGGACTTAACACGTACCACCCACTTAGAAATTGTTGTAGACCACGTATACCCCGTCAAGGCAATGGTGTTCCCTGATGGGAGTGGACTTTTTCAACAGGAGAAAACACTGCAAAAAGTGTTCAGGTATGGTTTGATGAACACAGCAATGATTATCGGTGGGATCTGCTAAACAACAAATGTGGTTCATAGAGGCCTCACCTCTTAACTTGCAAGACTTAAAGGATCTCACGTCCAAGCCTCACTTCCAAGTCCATGTTTTTTTGTCCCCTGCATCACTTCCAAGTTTCCATACTCTATTCCCTCTGCACAATGTCATAAAGCAAGAAAGGAGTATTAAATCAAAATAAGTAAATTTAAAAAAAGGGAGCCTATTCCATCGGCATGGGCCTGGAGCTGCAACTCCCTATGTTAATCCGATCCTTGGTCCTGCTTTTAGGGAGAGAGAAGCAGGACTGCAGCCCTAGAGCACTTGTTTATGTATATTTAAGAATTTGACAGTCCTATTGAGAATATCATGTTCTTGTTTAATTATTGTTTTCCAATTTTTCACCTCTACCACAAACTGCAGATTCTCTGGTCAGCATGGACGTAAAGCTAAACACAGCAAAATACAGAGATATCCTTTAATATAAGCCTGGTCCAAAGTACTCAGGATCTCAGACTAGGCCAAAAGTCTACCTTTCAACGGGATAATGACCATAAGCATATAGCCAAGACAACACAAGAGTGGCTTAATGACAACTGTGTGAATGTCCTTTCTGGAGAAACCTGAATATGGCTGTATTTGTGTGTGATATTTCATGGGGGGGGAGGAATAAAAAGATTCAGATACAGCGAGATATACAGCAACTTATTAGATAACGTTTATTTTTTGGTGACAGATCGGCTTCAACCCCTTAAGGACACATGACGGAAATATTCCGTCATGATTCCCTTTTATTTCTGAAGTTGTGTCCTTAAGGGGTTAAAGCGTAAAGGAGAAGTGCGAGACTACCTTTGGAGAGTAGTGACCGCGATTTTTAGATTGCTTAAATAAATGGTCTGAGGTCGAGCTTGTTTTCATATGTTTTATTTTATATCATCTTAGTTTAAATTAAAGCATTACTACTTTAAAATAGAATTGATATGTTTTTTAAAAATGCTATGTGTGACACAACACTATATCTTATATTTATTTCAGTTTATACCAATGAATTACAAAATAATAAAATCAAACTCACCGAAAAATCACCAAAATACAATATTCATTTTTTTATTTTTTTATTAGAAAGTTATTCAATTGGGGAGGTGGGATGGCATTAAAGGACATAAGTACTCTTGACAGGAAGTTTGATATATTAATTTTCTCTTCGTTTTCGAGTAGAGTACTTTAAGACATTAGATTATGATGAGACGCCCCAAAACGTGGATATTTGAACGATATTATTCTTGAAACCTAGAAAATCAGAAAAAGAGAACATCATGCTGCATTGTTGGTCTATCAATGAAAATCAGTCAATCTAACATAGATTTAAACATTGGCATCACGGATATCAGAGCATTTTACAAATGATCAAACCAGAGCAACTGTTTTAGAGATTACTTTTAATGTCAGACACCAGCTAGCGTTTCTCAAAAAAATGTCCTACCATTAATAACTGAACAAACCAATTAAGTGATGCAATATATATCCTCGATCCTGATTAAAGTCCTGGGAATGGACTGAAATGTTGGTCCTATTTTAAACTTTGACTTTTTGGAAGACCGTGAGTGTAGCCACCTCTCTACATATATATATATATATATATATATATATACACACTGCTCAAAAAAAATAAAGGGAACACAAAAATAACACATCCTAGATCTGAATGAATTAAATAATCTTCTGAAATACTTTGTTCTTTACATAGGTTGAATGTGCTGACAACAAAATCACACAAAAATTAAAAAAATGGAAATCACATTTTTCAACCCATGGAGGTCTGGATTTGGAGTCACACTCAAAATTAAGGTGGAAAAATACACTACAGGCTGATCCAACTTTGATGTAATGTTCTTAAAACAAGTCAAAATGAGGCTCAGTAGTGTGTGTGGCCTCCACGTGCCTGTATGACCTCCCTACAACGCCTGTGCATGCTCCTGATGAGGTGGCGGATGGTCTCCTGAGGGATCTCCTCCCAGACCTGGACTAAAGCATCTGCCAACTCCTGGACAGTCTGTGGTGCAACGTGACATTGGTGGATGGAGCGAGACATGATGTCCCAGATGTGCTCAATTGGATTCTGACCAGGGCCAGTCCATAGCATCAATGCCTTCGTCTTGCAGGAACTGCTGACACACTCCAGCCACATGAGGTCTAGCATTGTCTTGCATTAGGAGGAACCCAGGGCCAACCGCACCAGCATATGGTCTCACAAGGGGTCTGATGATCTCATCTCGGTACCTAATGGCAGTCAGGCTACCTCTGGCGAGCACATGGAGGGCTGTGCGGCCCCCAAAGAAATGCCATTTCTAGAGATATTCAACTTAGAAACAGTGTAAAATTGAAGTAAGTATAATTTACCTCACACAGGCTTCTGGCACGTGAAACGACAACCACTGGGACAACACTTCTCATCATTGGGACAAGAGCAGTCATTATCGCAGAAGGGACGCTCTAATAGCAAGCAATGAGGGATATTTGGCTGTTTACAGGTACCTGCCTTCACTGCAAAGAAAGATAAGGAGATGACATAGTTATAAACGGATAATGAGAAAACGATATCCCAAGAGTAAACTAGTACAAAATATACAATTAAAGGGCTCTTAATGCACCATAACCACTAGAGTCTGCTAGTAGTGCCCTGTTTGGTGCTGTCCCAATTCAACCTGGCACATGATTTGACTGTTATCTGAGTCCACACTGCTTCCCGTCTCCTTGAGTTGTCAAAGCTGGATATCAGTTTTTTTTTTGCAAGATAAGAACTTATTGGCTGAGAGTGTGGGGTGGCTGCATGGGACACTCCAGGGTACTCCTGCCACTATAACCACTACAACAAGCTGCAGTGGTTAATTATGATGCTTGGAGTGTAATTTAATAGTCATGTTGTGGTGTGGAGTTGATATGAAAATAAGAGCAAAACATTAAGAAATTTACAATATTAGGCTACAAGGTCTTTAACCCCTTAAGGACCAAACTTCTGGAATAAAAGGGAATCATGACATGTCACACGTGTCATGTGTCCTTAAGTGGTTAAACCTAAAAGACCCAGAGCCTGAAGTTAGAAGGTAACCCTTAAAACATATACACATTAAAAAAAGCAAGAAACGATAACTGTAACAGTCTTTCCTAGTTGAGAGTATCATAAGCAGATACAAGGCCGCAATAAACTGGGGATGGTGGTTGTTGGAGAACATCAACTGGAAATATCCATATTCGTTTTCCAGTAATTAATTTCTGCATAGTGGGCACTCAGCATGGACTTTCTTTACCGAGAGGAAATTAAAACTGTGACGGAATTGGGGCAGCACGTAAAAGAACGTATAGATCAAAGCTGAGATAGATGTGAATAGGGAAGGAGAGAGAAAATGACAAGATGAAGGGAATGAAAAAAGGGATAAGTAAGAATTTACAGAAATGGACAGAAGGTAAAAAGAGCAAGAGGAAGGAGAACTGAAAAACAAAACATGTTTCGTACACGGGAGACAGAAAAGAGGAATCTGAAAAGATTAGAATAAGAGTAGAACGAATAAGTACAAAAGTAAAATGGGGGTAACTGGAACAGGAAATTATAGAACAATACATTATTATGTGTGTTTTTGAGCTTAGGAGGAAGAATTGTTACCTTTATTACAAGGCAGACAAGTCTTTCCGTTTGAACCAAGGCAGCACTTGGATCCATCAGCACACTCACTGTCTGAAGAGCAAAAGTCCTGACGATATTTGATTGCAGTTTTTGTAGTTGGTGGACACTCTCCAGATCTCTCTGTCAATACATATCACAAAGAAGATAGCTTGTTTGCAAGAAAATACAATACATTATCACAACAGATTTGGATATGCAATGTGACAAAAGCGTTAACACTCTCTAATAGCATCAGTTGTTATAAATAAAACAAGTTTGCGTGTTTACGCCATCTTTGTTTACTCAGGGGTTTATTCAGTAAACAGAGAAAATTGGAAAACAGAATATACAATAACTGCAAATTGTAGGTCAAAATAAGTGAATTTAAATAATTCTCCAGTCTATGGGGAGAGATGAGGAGAATTAGCTACCACTGTGCATGGGAAGGGATTGGCTACTACTACTATTGACTATGGGGAGGGATGGTGGAGGGATATGGGCTACTATTGGCTATGGCTATGGGGAGGGATAGTGGTGGAACATGGACTTCTAATGACTATGTGGAGGGATGGTGGGGGAATATGGACTACTATTGGCTATGTGGATGGATGGTGGGGGAATATGGACTACTATTGGCTATGGGGAAGGATGGTGGGGGAATATGGACTACTATTGGCTATGGGGAAGGATGGTGGGGGAACATGGACTCCTATGAGCTATGGGTGGGATGGTGGGTAATTATGGGCTACTACTGACTAAGGTGAGGGGATGGTGGGGGAATGTGGACTACTATTGACTATAGGGAGGGATAGTGGTTTAAAATGGACTACTATTGGCTATGGGGAGGGGTGGTGGGAGAATATGGACTACTATTGACTATGGGGAGGGATGGTGGGAGAACATGGAGTACTATTGACTATGGGGAGAGATGGTGGGGGAATATGGGCTGCTATTAGCTATCGGGAAAGATAGGCAGTAAATAACTGCTGCTATTAGATATATATATATATATACATACATACTGTTTGCTTACCTTTCGCTGGAGGTTTGCAGAATTTATAGCCATTATCTGAGCAGCACTTTTTGTCACCTTCACATTGACTGTCATTGGTGCATGTATGTACAGGAACACCCGCAGAGGGAGTATAATATCTCTCAGGAGGGCAAACTCCAGACTTCTCTGATACAACAATAAAATACATTAGTAAGTACAGTAAGTATCGGATCAAAGGGCGCTTTAAACTTGGTTTACCGTTGACGCTTATGCTAACATTGAATTCATATTAAAATGGAACATTGGTTGAATGTGAAATATGTCTCTGCATTGGGGTTTAAGTACTTTATTAACTAAGATTTATTAACTAAGATTAGTAGTAGCAGTCAGAATGATATTTATTAAAAATACACCATTTAAAACGTTCCGGATCAGGCAAATTCCAAGTTAGGTGCTGATAAACAACCTAGGCTACTCCAAGCCCCATGACCAATTCAGTTTCTATGTGCAATCAAAATGTACACTTGTGAATAAACATTGAAAATGTAGCCCTTCTGAGAAGAAATTCACACCTGGTGGATGCTCCACGCTTGCAGGTAACTTTTAAGGCTTTGTTCATCAGCTTAATGTAGTTGTTCTGGTGTACATAGTCAGTCCTTGCCGGCGTTTTCAGGTAAACACTGCCCATCAGAGAAACAGGCAGTGTTTACATTGCTTCATAGTAACACCTTCTCAACAGCAGTCACTTAGACGGCCACAATGTGCATCACTGACGTTCAGTGTCTCTACGCGCTGCATGGAGGTGCTGAACTTTTCCAATGGAGATGCATGGATTCAATGCATCTCTATGAGGGGATGCTGAGTGGCCAGCACGGCGTTTGGCCCTACCCCTGCAAGCCTCCTTGGCTGAGATTATCAGAATTTACAATCTCAGCCAATCCAATGCTCTCCCATCCCATAGGAAATTTAATGAAGATGATTTTAACCAAGGAGGCGGGCCAGAGCGGAGCCAGCACTTTCAGTCCCGATCGATGCTGGAATAAATATGAGATTTAACCCTATTTAAGGGGCTTAAGATTGAGCCATCCACCCAAATAGTGTTTTTAACACTATAAGGTCAGGAATATAGGTTTGTGTTCCTGCCCCTGTAGCTTTAACTTTTTGCAAAGATACCTAGAGAGATATAGCACATTGCTACCAGAGGTGTAACTCCATCACCAGTAGTGTCCTTAGCCTGCCAAGATGTTATGTATCTGGTAAAACCTCAATTGAAAACTTTTGTTCTTCAATCAGCAGCCAAACAAATTACATTTAAAATCCAATGTCCCTACTCATGGGCAAATTTTAGTACATATAGGGTCATCGGGCCATTCAGGGCCATTCAGAGCCATAAAACCATTAAATAGCACAATATTAGACAATAAAGGCTGTTGTTTAAGAATCTTTGGATGACTGTCCATTACATAGATCGATCACCAGCTTTGGGGGCATGATGTGTAGCAGTTCTGTGCAGTTTGTGGCCAAAGGAGTCTAACACAATAAAATCTGATGGACCTGTTGTGTATGTTGCTGAAATTGCTGTACAGCCTGTTGAGTATGTTGCAACATAAATCTAAAATGTACAGATGAGTTTGAACAAAGAATGTAATAGAGTATGAAATTGGCAAGCAAGGGGACAGAGCCTATTGTTGCAGTTGGCAAATAATGGGGGGCGGGAGGGCGGAAGAGGGGGAAACACCTCAAAGCCTGTAGCAAACAATTAAAATTGAATGAATATTTTAGACATGACATGTAACCATAATACACATTGGCTATTAGATTTGAATCAGAATAATGTCACCTACCATCATCATCTGCCTTGATGACTATTACAGTGGTGAGTAGCAGTGCCAGCCCAAACATGACGATCTGACCCGTATACATCTTGATGTCTGTATGTGCTCTGTCTAAATGTGCAAATCTATTTATCCTCTGATTCAGCCCATTTCATTAGGGTGTGCACCGGGAAATGATTTCCCTATGTTATTTTGTAATATTGTGTAACAGGAATAATTATTCAAATGTTGAGTGGATGTGTGATGTGGGAGTGGCTGTGGATGTTGTAGCTTTCTGTGACGTATAAGGCTGGCTGTGTGTAATGTGTGTACAGCTGTGAGTGATAAGTTTGAGCCGCTTTGAATGATATGTGTGGCAATGTGTGATTTGTGGGAAATAGATGTGGGAAGTAGTGGAATTTCTATTAATTACAAGATTGGAAGGGAAATTCAAGTTAGCCGCCCCTCAGTCCAATATAGCTAGTGAGGTGCTGTAGTCAGGGGATAAGGCAGAAGTGCGGGATGTAGTGAAATTTAGGAGCAGTAGTGGGGGGCTAGGGGCTGTAGTGGCTGTTAATGGCAGTAGAGAGATGGTTAGCAGCTATAGTGCGGGATAGGGGCAGAGTTGGTGACAGAGCGGCTGTAGTAGGAGGATAGGGGCTGCAGTTGGGGTTTGGGGCAGTAGTGGAGGGTTAGGGGCTGAAGTGGGGACGGGCTGTTGTGAGTGATTGGAACTGTAGTTGGGGGATAGAAGCTTAGGTGGAGTTTAGGGGCTGTATTTGGGTATTCGAGGCTGTAGTAGAGGTTAGGTGCCGTATTGGAGGGTTAGGGGTTGTAGTTAGGGGTTAGAGGCAGTAGTGAAGGGTTAGGGGCTAAAGTGGGGTTATGGGCTGTATTGGTTAGATGGGGCTGTAGTGGGGTATTAGAAGCAGTAGTAGTGGGGGATAGAGGCAGTAGGAAGGGATACAAGCTGTATTGGGGTATAAAGGCAGTATTGGGGAACTAGAGGCTGAATAGTATGGGGGCTGTAGTGGGTGGGGGTTTATGAGTTGAAGAGGGGGTTTGAAGATTCCTTTGTCCATATGGGGTAAGGGGCTGCAATAGTAGGGGATAAATTACTGAAGTAGGGGTTAGTGGTAGTAGTAGGAGATAGTGGCAGTAGTGGAGGTTAGAGGCAGTAGTGGAGATTTGTGGTTAATAGCCAGGGATATTCGGTAATTATGAAGGTGTGAACAAGGGGCCACACAACAAGGGGGTTCGGTAAACAAATGGGCATGCGGACAGCCGAACAAAAAGGGGAATAAAAGTATATTGGAGTTGTCCATTCTGCTACAATGTCATCCCCCAGGTCCCCACCCATGAGCGTCGGGTGGGGACCCTAATTAAATAAAAGGGGGGACCTAATGTCCCTCCCAGGTCCCCACTCATGACCAGCGGGTGGGGACCTTAAAAAAATGTAATTCTTTTTTAAAGCAAACGAATACGAAAAAGTCAGAAATTTCGGATGAAATCATATTCGTCCGATAACGAATGCACATGTCTAATATTAATGGTCTGGTCTTACCAGTGATTTATAAAGATGCAAAATTATATTTCCATCCAAAGAATTAATGCCCAATTTTATACATGATAATACCTTACTGGCATAGCAACTGCTGATTGACATTGCACATTGTTGCCTAGATTATTGTCTATAGCAATTCCCAAATCCTTCTCGTGTGTTGTTATCCCTAATTTACTACCATTTAGGGTGTAAATTCCTTGTGCATTATTTACCCCAATGTGCATAACTTTGCATTTTTCTACATTACATTTCATCTGCCATTTTAGTACCCAGTACTCCAATCCATCTAAACCCCTCTGCAGCAAAGCAATATCCTGTTCACATTCAGGGCCATCTTAACAACATCATAGGCCCCAGGGTAAAAAGCAGAGCACTGGGGCCCTGCCCACACCACCACTCATAGGAATAAAAATGTAGATGATTGATAAAATTACGCTTAGATTTATTGGTACCTCCAACGAAATAAGCGTGTAAGCATTAAAAAACATACTGTACAGCAGAGATTAACCCACGCAAACATTTGGGCAATGGAACATGCCTTGAAGTTAAAAAATAAGATATTCAACATAAAAATGGTACTCAGTTGGTAAATCATACAGACGGATATTGCACAGTACACATGTACTATGCAGGGCTGCCACCAGAAATTTTGGGGCCCCTAACTCAGCTCAGGGTCTGGGCCCCCTGGGGTCCGCCTCCAAATACCGCCCACTGGGTCCGCCTCCAAATACCGCCCACAGGAATACACACACAGACACAAACACACACACTGATACAAAAAGGCAGAGATACATACTAACAGACACACATACTGAAACAGACATACACGCATACAGGCATACATACTGAGACATACACACAGGCATACATAGTGACAGACAGACACATACTAACATATATACAGACACACATGCATGAGGACATAAAGACACATACATACATATAGACACCGACATACATACATACATACATACACACACACAGACATACAGACACTGTCATCCATACACACATACATTCATAATGGCATACAGACATAAACAGACATACATTCATAATGGCATACAGACATACATACATACATTCAGACTGACATACATGCATATATACAGACATACTGACAGACATACATGCATACAGACATCCATACACACATACACACAGACATACGTTCATAATGATATGAAGGCATACATTCATACTGATATACAGACATACATATATAATGACATACAGACATACATATATACATACATAGACATACATACAGACGGACATACATGCATACAGACATACATACATCCATAGACATACATGCATGCATACAGACATACATACAGACATACACATACATACATACAGACAGACATACATAGAAATACATGCATGCATACAGTCAGACAGAGAAACATAGACATACACACAGACATACATACAGACACACACAGACATGCATGCATACAGACAGACATACATACATAGACATACATGCATGCCTACAGACAGACATACAGACATACACATACATACATACATACATACATACAAAAATACAAGTGTGCTGGCACTCAATCACAACAAGGTGCCGGTATTCGAGGTTAATCCCAAAAAACCTCCAAATCACAATCAAAAATATATATAATGAATACCGCACTCTAATAATGAAAAGTATACATAATACTTGTAATTAATGCTGAGAAAAAATTTATTATAAATAAATTCATGCGAAGTATGTCAATAGGAATATTCATTTCATCCTGAGTGCACCAATTATATACAAGAAATATATGCAATATATACAGTATATACAAAATTGTTTCCAAGTATTGGATAAAGTTCATTTAATGTATATACACTTGATGATGGTCCTTTAGAAAAAAATTAGAAAAAATTGAAAAATTGAAAAATAAAATATGTAAACAATCCCCAATCCAAAAATAAAACAGAGGAAAGGAGAAAGAAAAAAGGAGAAAAAAGGGAAAAAAGAAAAAAAGAAAAAAGAAAAAATGAAGAAAAAATATATGTAAAGACGTCCTGATAGTCCAAAATATAGTGCACTATATATAGCTATATGTGGATGGATCTCACCAATGTAGACATCTTTTTCTTGGTGTACACAATTAATAGCTGTAGTCAGATGATGATATGAACGAAGGTGAAGGAAATGATTATTGTAAAAAACGGACAGTCAACATACATACATACATACAGGCAGACATACAGACATACATGCATACAGACAGACATGCATACAGACAGACATGCATACAGACATACAGACATACATGCATACAGACAGACAAACATGCATACAGACATACATGCATACAGACAGACAGACATGCATACAGACAGATGTATACAGACATACAGACATACAGACATACAGACATACATGCATACAGACAGACAGACAACAGCACATGGAGAGTCAAAATAGTATAAGAACAGCCAGGTGCAAACCATATAAACACTCCCTCAAGTGCTTTAAATATTCAAATGTATATAGAATATAGAATGCACACTATAACAATCTAAAAAAAAACAAAAAACTTTGCTTTATTATGTACAAAAAAGTACCAGAGTGAAAACATATAAGAAAAGATAAACAAAGTGACAGAAGCAAGGGCAAACACAATAAAACAATAATAAATTACCACAAAAATTCTTACAAGCCTCCAGACAGAAACACGAGTCACCAAACCCCCCAACGTTTCGGCACCAACTGGCTGCCTTTATCAAGAATTTTTGTGGTAATTTACTATTGTTTTATTGTGTTTGCCCTTGCTTCTGTCACTTTGTTTATCTTTTTTTATATCTTTTCACTCTGGTACTTTTTTGTACATAATAAAGCAAAGGTTTTTTTTGAGATTGTTATAGTGTGCATTCTATATTCTATATACAGACAGACAGACAGACATGCATACAGACACACACAGACATGCATGCATACAGACAGACAGACATACATACACAGACAGACATACATACATAGACATACATGCAGACAGACATACACATACAGACAGACATGCATACAGACACACACACACAGCTCATTTTCCAGCCACCCTCCTGTCTCTTACCTTTTCTTTGCAGGAGGATGGCTGGGGATGATGGGAGTCGGCACTGCTCCCTCTTCACTGCCTGGCTCTCCCTCTTCACCGGCGCGCGCGCTCCTCCCGCGCGGAGTGGGCTGGGAGGAAGTGACCACTTCCTCCCAGCAGCACTTGCGGCTTTTTTTTTTTTTAAAGGGGCCCGGTCGCGGCCACAGCGCTGACCGGGCCACTGAAGATATAGGGCCCATCGGGTGGCCCTAAGTGTGTGGGCCACCCGATGGGCCCCACATGTGTTATGGTTGTCACCCCCTGATGGCGGCCCTGGTACTATGGATAATTTAATATTAATCAAGTGGTTCAACACAGAGCTTTATGGTCAGCTGATACTGAAGTGATTAGTCCACCTTAATGTTTTACTAAAGACTGTTTGAAGGTTCTAAACAAATCTCCCTGAATAATATACTGAAATGATGGCCCGCCTATGGGGCCCTATGTTCGTGGAGCCCCTGGTCATCTGCCCAGCATACCCATGTGTCAAGACATCCCTGCTCACATTTTATTACTTGATAGATATTTATGTAATCTGCAAACACTAAAACATGACTTACCATGACTATTTCAGATAAGTATAAACATGTTATATAGAAGCAGTCCCAAAACAGAACCCTTACCACTTTTGTCCAGCTTAAAAACTTATCATTAATGACAACTCATTGTACTCTAGCTTTAAGCTAATGTTCTATTGAAGAACAAGAATATTCATCGAAACCAATTTCTTTTAGTTTGAACACTAACCTATTGTGAGGAACCGTATCAAACGCATTGGCAAAATCCAAGTAGATCACATCAACAGCAACACCCTGATCTATTCTTCTACTTACTTCTTTGTAGAATGCAATTAAGTTTGTTTGACATAACCTATGTTTCATAAAACCATGTTGATATTTGCTAATAACAATGGTCTTCTTGATTTCCTGAATATTACCCCTTAATAAAGCTTCTAATACTTTTACCAGCCACAAAAGTTAAGCTCACAGGTCTATAATTGCCAGGCACAGACTTTGGATCCTTGATGAATATAGGAACCACACCTGCCTTCCTTCTATCCTCCGGTACAATTCCTGAAAGAAAATAATTTTGAAAGATTAAGAACAAAGGTTCACTTATTTCTACACTTAGTTCCTAAGTACCCCTGGGTGAATACCGTCAGGCCCTACAGCTTTGTTTATATAAACTTTCTTAAATTGCTGCAGCACCTTGTCTTGAGTTATCCAATCACAATTATTCTGCAAATTTGTACAGAAATCATTTTCATGTCTCTTGCCATAGGCTCCTCCCTGATATATCCTAGGGAAAAATTGTTATTTAATATTTCTGCCTTTTCCTGGTCTACATTAACTAACACAGCCATCTCTGTTTTCAGTGTACATACCTTTCATTTAAAAAAAAAAATATTTTAGAATTTATGTACTTTTTTTTTCTTTGTAGATTTTTTTGGAGTCGTTTTTGCTCTCTTTCACTATCACATTCTCATTTTCTAGTTTAGCCAATCTAAATGCCTTTTGCATGCATTGTTGATTTCTTTATACCTTATATAGGATGCCTCTGATTTGTCTGAATGAAATGCTTTAACCCCTTAATGACAAAACTTCTGGAATAAAAGGGAATCATGACGGTGTCCTTAAGGGGTTAAACGCCCTTTTCTTATTTTGTGTCACATCGTGCCATGTTCTGTGGAGATGTCTGGCTTTGGCTTCTGGTATCCAGTACTCTTTTTACAATTCTTGTTTAGTTTTTCTTGGTTATCTGGTTTTCTATTCTATGTCTGGTTTTCTTTATGCTGGGTTTTTCTGGGTTCATTCCTGTAATCCGTCCCTGGAATTCCCAGTCTCCAGGTTTCCTTTAAATGTTTGTTTTATGTTGCCACACCAGTTTGTTTTCCATCATTCCTTTTGTTTCAGTGTCCTGCAGGCAGCTGCTCAAGCCTTCTGCCCTTTCTTGCAGGTAAGTGCTATATATGTGTTTCTTATGGTTCTTTTAGTATACATTAGGCAGTGTAGGACCTGCCGAATATGGGGTACACTGGCGTTGTGGCAGGCTTATGCAATGCATGATCATATAATGTAACTAAATCCCCATACTTTTCATATATAGTGCTTAGTTATATATTGCTTAGTTATATATTTTCTTGTGTTGTTTTAGTTTGTATACCCAGTCCATGTACAGTCCTGTCCTGTCCTGCCCCTGTTTAGTTAATGTTCCCTTATGTATTGTGTACATGTTCTGAGTTTAGCTTCCTATCCTTCTCTGGTTCTGGGTTCTATTAGTTCTGTCTTGTTTTCTTGTTTGGTGTCTGTTCTAGTCTTGCTTTGTTTCTGTACTGGATACATTCTTGCTGCAGAGCCTCCCTATTCAGCTCCTGGGAGGTCCGCTTAATTCCTGCTCCTAGCTTTTGGGATCCGCAGTAGCTGCATCAGGGAACTGGTATGTGGCTGCACAAACGCTGGTGCTTAACACCAGGGGGTGTGTGGTTACCCTGCACCAGGCCCTGATAATCCTCTTCCACGCTGAAGACTCCCACTTATCATCAGGCACTCAGGGGTTCCGGTTTCCGTACAGTCACCCGTGACATTTTGAATGTCTTGATTTACTTTCCCACTAAGCCACATTGGTTTTTCATTTGTTTCTTTTATATTTATTACGCAATGGTACATACTGATAAGTGTACCTTTCTAATATTTGAAGATATTCCATTTATCCTCAGTATAGAGGGGTATTAGGACCTGTGGTGGAGGTTAGGGGCAGTAGTGGGGTGCTAGGACCTGTAGTTGGGAGGTTAGATGAAGACAGCTCCTTCCAATCGGCGCCAGGAAAGGTGTTCTGCGCTGCCATGGGAACCTGAAGCAATGCTCTAATACAGTGTTGTAGTTGATTTACTGCAAACCAATT